TCGGAGCGGGCTGCCTGTCCTAACCGGTCGAGCGCCTGTATCTCCGGTCTGGGCACGGGCCCAGCCCTGTGGAGCTGAGTCGGGGGTTGCTCCTGCCGAGGTGGGATCGGTGGCAGCGTCGATGCTACTCTTCGTCGGCGTCCTGCGTGAGGCGGCTGTGCCTGGTTTTGCTCGGGCAGTCGCCGTGTTTTCTTTCACTGTTGTGCTGTCCGCCCAGCCTGGCCGGTGTGTTCTCCAGCGCCGGCCGCCCATCAGGTACCGTGGCCGGTTGATGGTGGAGCTGGGCGGTGCCCAGGCCAGGCTGGGGCTGGTGCTCCCGAGTCGCGGAGCCTGCCTGAGTCGGTGGCTCTGCTGGCGTTTGGCCCCGTTGAGGTAGTTCCCTGCTCTCGAGGCAGCTGCCAAGATCTCAGGGCTGCCTTGCCAGCTAGAGGGAGCTTGGTGTGGGATGTGCTGTGTAGCTGAGGGTGCCCCTTTTGGACATTGAAGAAACAAAATTCAGGTTGTCCTTTAAAACTAAACTGATGCAGTTATTGAAAAATATAAAAGTTATGTAACACCAAAAACATCATGTAACATGATGAGGAGGCTGGCTCCCTATCACATGTGCCCTCCTTGTCTCTGTTAAAGGATTTTTGAGCCTCAAGTGGTTCGTGAGTGGAATTGTGCTCTTGAGAACATCATCTCAGCAGTGAATGTGACAGCACATGCATGCTGTGACTGTGACCAATGAATTCTCAACTTCAGCATGAAACAGAACCTACTCTCCTAGGTGCAACTGAAGCTTTCATAACATGAGTGAGGCGTTTAGAACTGGAACTGCTGTTTTTGAAAATGCCGGAGCTGTTCTGCTAGTTATAATCTGGTATTTACATGTGCATTCAGATAGCAGAGTTAATACTTAACGTATGAGTTGCTTTTTTCTTTTTTATCTGAAACTCATTGCTCCCATCATCACCTTGCTCAGATGTTAAATTGTTAAAACTTGGATGCATTTTTGCAGAGGAGAGATATTTCTTTATATGCTGAAAGTGATTCTTTATTGATTTTTTTTTTTAAAAAAGCTTTTCACTAAGAACTTATAAATATTTTGGGTTTAGTGTACTCTTGCACGTTATAGCCCATTGCTGAGCTTTGAGCCTCTTATCTAGAGTAATCTGCTTTATTTTTGTAATAGTTAAAAAAAAATTTGAGTACAGGAAGGCCACTTTGTGTGCTGATGCAAATCTGTGTAGAGTTTTTAAGAGCTGGTGATCAGGCACTGTAACCCAATCTGCTGTTAAGTATTTTATTGTTGACTGGTCTTTCAGCTCTTGAAAATCCAAAATAAAATCACTAGAGGTCTCAAGTATTTTTTTTTTCTTTTAACTTAACTGGCTTGACAGTTCTAGCCTTGTTTGAAATTGAAAAACAAGGTATGTGTTATCCTACTTGGTATTGCACAAAATAATATTTTGTTGGTCACATCAACTTTTAGAGCGGTGTTGCTCAGGCTTTTGGATATTTCATTCTTGTTCTTATCTACGTACCACTGGATGTTGGAGCAGGACTTTTGTAAGGCTGCGTTGGTTTGTTGATGAGATGCCCATGTAGAGATTTAATGCTCAGGCAGGCCTTCCTGCTACACTTACGATAAAAATCTTTGAGATGTTCCTTGTGTATAATGAATAACGGGTCAGTGTTCCACACAGTCTGGAATGGCAGTTCTAGTTCTCAGCTTATCACTCATGGTATGAAATCTTCATGTGTATCTGGTGGAGTACTCTTCTACATCAAGAAGCTGAAGGTAAAATTCAGAATTTGTTGGTCCAGGCATACATTTGCATGACATCTGAAAGAAGCAATAATATATTACTGAGAACTGTTTTGTGGAAAAAGCTTAGTCTGTTCCTTTTGCTATAATGTACTATGCAGATCTGGGATTAAATAACAGGGTTAAAGCCTAATGAAAGAGGTGGTTTTTCTTCTTTCAGTAACTCGTCTGCAAACTGTTGGTCCCATCTTCATCCTGTTAACATGTTCAGCAGTTATAATGTTAAGTTCTACCACAGCAAAGCTCTCACCTCCCCGTATCCAGGATCACATATTGAGCGTAGCCAAGTTCCTGGAGATAAAGTGGGCTGGCTGATTGAGTGGAAAGATTATAATCCTGTGGAGTACACTGCAATGTCTGTTTTGGCTGGACCCAACTGGGCAGATCCGCAAATCAAGTGAGTGGAAATTGTGTCTCTCTTCTGTGAACACAGAAGCAGGAAATAGTGATCAGCTGTGTTAATAAGATCATCAGCTTAAGTGACATTGTGATTCTACAGTGATGTGTGAAAGTCAAGACCTAGGAAAATAGTGGTTAGAGAATGGAGTGGTTTGGGTTAGCTCTGAAGGTCTTTTACACATCATTTTACTGAGCTGGTGATTGAGGTAAGAGTAGTGTTAATTGGAATAATGGACAACTATTGATGCTGTGTAGTGCTGCTTCTGTGTTGTGAGCTAAGTAAAAATAATCTCCTAATTCTCCTTAAGAATTTGGCAGAACACTTTTATACTATATTTGTTTGTTCTTGGATTGAATGCAAGGTGAGAAAAAGAAAAGTAGAATTGTAATTGTGAGTGCTCTGACTCAGGAAATGTGACAGGTTGAATGCATGGCTAATTATTTTTGTGAATGTGTTATTAATTTTTATTGATTCTGTGAATACATTCTCCTCAAGGAATGCTGTATGCTTCTTGGCTAGAAAGTTAGATGCATGCATCTAACGTGACTTGTGATAATGTGAAATGGTGATTCCTGTGTATGCACATCTGTGTAGAAAGATCAGAAGATAATGGTACTTGAGTGTTCAGTGATACCTTCCTTGTTTCCCATTGTTGTGTGAACATGTGCTTCTGTTTGCTCCTAATTTGGTCTAGTATGCTGCTGATTGCAAGGCATGCTACTCCTCAGACTCTATAGGGCTGCTGATGTTCTGCCAAGGCATAGTTGGGAAAGTGTCAGGTAGTCATTTAGTAGGTGTTGGTAATACTTGAAACTGCAGTGATTTTTTTTTTTAAGATATTAGTGTAACTTCCCAAACAAATTATGTGTGGAAGAAGCTAGTCAGTAGCTTGAAACCTGTGATGGTTTGAGAGGAATTGCTTTTAGGAAAGTAAATAAGCTTCTGTAGACGGATAGCTGCTTCTCTACCAGTTTTCAGGGTGCACATAAGGAGATTGGCATTAATCCGATTTTGAAAGTTGTTGATTATTAGCTTGTAACTCTGATAAATCGTATCTAATAAAAATTTCTTCTCATTTTTTTAAATTAGCAAAGTATTTTTTCATTTTATCAATGAATAATGTCCTTCTGTGTTCTCTAACCTTAACAAGAAAACCTTTGCATCTCTAGGTTTTCCTTTAGACAAAGTGTTTCAATATTAAATACTTTAGAGGGGTGCACTTATGTCTGCAGAACTAAATACAGGAATACTGTCATCAGTAAAAGCTGAGAGTTCATAGCCCCCTATAGAAAAGGGAGGGCCTGCAACTTAAGTTCTGGTAGAAACTGCTCATTGGCCAAATGGGTGTTGCCAATGTGGTGGTTGGCCTTCAAGCTTTTGTGGGGCAGAGGAGGGGGTGTTTTGCATTTTATGACTTAAGTCTATTAAATTATTCTTTTCCACACAGCGATAAAGGTTTTTCTCCCAAATTCAATGAGAGAGATGGAGAAGTGGAGAGGAAAAGCCTGAATGGCTTGTATGTGGTTGAAAACGGGAGGCCTCGGTGAGTGTTTTTTTGTTTGCATATTCATTTCAGTGATATAGTTACAGAGCTCTTACAGATCTGTCAGTTTTGATACATGGTAATTGCTAGAACATAACATGGTCTCCCGTAGAGACAGGAAAAATGATACATCAGGGCCAGAGAGTTCTTTCTGGAAGAAGGTTGTGGGGGAGAGGCACTAAAAGATTAGCTGGTACTGCCACAACAGAGATTTGTGGTGGCGCTGGAGTCAGAGGTGGCCTAACATTGTTAATAGTAGGGTCTGTTGAATTAATTGTTTCCACAGTTTGACCAGGTGTTAGGCTCTGAATCTTTTGTACCACTTGTGTGTTATGGTGGAGTGGAAGAGTGTGTTCTTCCACTGACAAACCTGGTATAGCACAGATGGGTAATCTTGCCTAAAAAAAATTTGTTTTCTTTCTGTCATTTGTACATAATTGAATGATCTGTGCATCTATAGCCTTGGAAACTAGATTCTGTTTTCAGGGAAGGTTGTGTGCACAGTGGGAGTAACGCTTAATCAGGAGTATCTCGGGACACAAGATCTGGGAAATGTCAAAGCCATTTTGTATATTTCCTTTCCCTGTACTATCAAATACAAAAAGAGGTTGATGAAGGAGAAAACCACGCTTTGTCTCTTATGCCTTTTAAAGCACATGATGGCACCAAACATATGTTGCTATCCTTTCCTTTGTTATTATTTAAGCTTCTTTAAAGCTGCTTTTTTACAGTACTTGGAGCATATTTTGAATGTGGGGAAGTAAATATGTTTAATGTATTGTGCTGCTTATTTCAGAAATCCAGTGGGAAGGACTGGCCTCACAGGCAGAGGATTGTTAGGGCGCTGGGGACCAAACCATGCTGCTGATCCTGTTGTAACTAGGTAAGGGACAGGTGACTGACTGGTGCTCTGCAGTAGAGGAAAAAAAAATGCATTTTGCTTTTTCTGTGCATCTCTGGACAGGCTGTTACTTTTCATGGGCCTTGTGTGTATGTTCATCTATTTGTGAGCACATTCAGATATGGGTATCTGAATAGAGAGATATAGAGATGTGTGGAACACAAATTTCATAATATTTTAGTCTTTGTCTCTGGAAAAGAGTAAGGACTCATTGCTAATGACAAGCAATTGCCTCTGAAATGCTGAGGAAGCAGATGTAAAAAAAAAAAAACAAACCAAAAACAAACCAACAACCCAGGAAGCATATTTCAGTAGAAATACATTACACAAACAATCTTTAGTAACAAATGTAAAAACTGAAAAGATTTATGTGATACTTTGATACGGTATACATAATATGCCAAAAAGCCTTAGAGGAGGCATATTAAATTGCAGAAATAGGTTTTTCTGTCATAATGACTCAACTGCAAAAAAAAAAAAGTGGTGTGCCTGCTTTTGCTTTGTAAGAAGTACTAACATGGCCTAGTATATTACGGGAGGAGGTGAGGTTAGGCTCCTGTTTTTTTTGTCAGTGTATGCTCTGTTCTATTGATGCTTTTGCCAGCAGGATCTGTGTGTGCATGCTAACTATTTTACACAAAGAAAGCATTCAGAAAAGGTTGCATAGTTAACAAAGGTGCAAGCTAGGAAGTGCTGTGCTGAAGGCAGAACCATTGTGAAAATCACCTTAATGCATTTTATTTCCCCTTTTCAGAAGGTTGCCAATGCTACTGAGCTGTTTCCGTGGCTGTTTTTATTTTGTCTTTGTTTAGACAGCTTTTTGCTTTACTGGTAGTTCTTCTTAATTCTTTACTGAAGGCAATGGGGGGGTGTTTGTGGCCTGGTGCTGGGTGAGCAGTTCAGGGGTGTTGCAGCCTGCATGTATGTTTTGTTCTAGCAGAACGCGTACTTAGCCTCTGTTATGAATAGGCACAAGCACAGTGCAGTGAGCGATGCAGCTGAGGGGATGTGCTGGACATAGCTGTCAAAGGAGCTGCTGCTGTCAGCATGGCTACAGAAATGTGGCTCTTCAGCTGCTTCTGCCCTTTTGGCTGAGGAAGACAGTTGGTAGAGGTGTGTGAAAAACAGTGTTTTGCCCTTGGTTATGATCTTGCTGGGTGGCATCCATCAGTCCCCCACTGACTGTTCTTTCTCTGCTTTGCCTCCACACAGGTGACAGCACAGGCACCTTGCTGTTCCTCTCCCAGGTGCTCATGCAAAAGCATGTTCTTGTTTGTTGTTTACTGCAGGTGGAAAAGGGACAGAAGTGGCAATAAAGTTGCTCATCCAGTTACTGGCAAAAACATCTTACAGTTCGTAGCTATCAAGAGGAGAGACTGTGGGGAGTGGGCCATTCCAGGGGTAAGAGCAAAGACATTTCCCTGCTGGTAAGGCCGTGAGGCAATAACTGGCATGCACATGATAAAAGCGTGCTTTTTGATGAACGACCTCGTGTTGCAGATGTGAGGAGAAATGCTTCTTAGACTAGCTTTGCCCAAGCATCAGCTGATACTGCCTTCTGCTGTTTCTGCATTGCAGGGCAGTATTCATATTTAATTTTGACCATGTCTTTTGCTTGATGCAGGCACAATTCAATCCATTTCAGGTTTTGAAGGATGTATGTGCTTGCTCTTTACAACTAAGTGTGAAGTTCCTCCTGTTGTCCCAAAAGTGGGATCGTATACCCGGTGTGCAACACACCAATATAGACACAGAGTAGAGGTATTTTATTTATAGCATGTTTGCACAGATATGGGCGCTAGGTGGTATTCCACAAAGCTAGCACACCACAAACAAGAATCACCACATCTATCCTGTTACACAATTAGCGAAAACAATAGAGAACCCTCCCAAGTTTACATTCATTAGCTAGTAATTACCACATTGCTCATTATTGGTTACACATATTCAAATTGGCACGCATGCTCCTAGGATGAGTGGGGGGTGATTTTCATAGTCACTCAATTGAGTCGGTGGTCGCGATCCCTCCTGCTGCCTTTACCTTTACCCCAGTTACTGTGGATTCTGCTGACCTCATGACAGTTACGTTATTCAAGAGTGCAGGAACAGCTAAGTCTTCATGGTTTACTGCTTAAGTACAAATACTTCTTCATCTTGACTACTAGCTCTGGTTTCATTAATCTTTTTGATCGTGTTAGGTCCTACCAACCTGCATGCTAGAATCTTCCATTTGCCTCAGATATCACTCCCATGTCCACAGTATGATGCAGGTGGATGTAATATACTAAAAGCTAGTTAGAGGAGTAAAAACAAGTGGAATCTGAGAGATAGTCACCTTTTTTTTTTTCCTTTTCCCCCTTCTAAGGGGATGGTAGATCCAGGGGAGAAGATTAGCGCTACCCTGAAGCGAGAATTTGGGGAGGAGGCCTTGAATTCCTTGCAGAAATCGCCTGAGGAGAAAGCAGAATTGGAGAAGCAACTCCACAAGCTGTTCAGCCAGGAACACTTTGTGGTGAGCTTTGTGCCTCTTGTGATAGCCTCTTGAGCTATGCATGTAACTTGCAGCTGTATGAAACTTGAAAAAGTGTAGCTGAAATGAAAATAAGCTGTGCTGCTCAGCTTGGCATGGTGTAGGAAGTGGAAGGGACTATTGAAAACTCTTTAAGGGCAAATGTATTGGAGGGGAAAGAAAAAAATCTTTGTATTGATTCCATCTTGTTTGTTGTGACACTGAACTTGTTTTGGTTTGTTTGGGGCCTTAGGTGTACAGAGGATATGTGGATGACCCTCGTAACACTGATAATGCCTGGATGGAGACAGAGGCTGTGAACTATCATGATGAAACCGGTGGGTGTCTCCATGCGTGCTTTTAGTTGCCTTTTACTCTATATATTGTTTTGAAGTTGGGATGTATGTTGGCCTGAGGTTGGCAATGAAATTGGGGAAACATGCAAGTCAGGTGTAAAATATTGGTTTAAAACCAATGGACATGAGGGTCTCTTGTCTCCTAAGATGGTCAGACATGACAGGTAGCTGTCATTCCCCTTTTGGTTTCTGTCAGTTGTGAAATGAGGAACATACAGAAAATTATTTAGCAAGTTCTAAGCTATAGACCATGTGCCTTTGTATGGAGATTGAACATTGGACAAGGGTTTCTTCTTGTGACTCTTTTATCTTGAGTTGGTTTAATTTTCCTTTTTAATGAGTCTGGTGTGGAAGGATTGTCTGTTTCTTTTGTTATCTTTCCTTTAGTAGCTAAGGTGTGCTTCAGCAGCATTGCCTATGGCTGCTGGCAGATTTTCACTGCATTTATTGCTTTGCTGTTGTAATTGCTCTGAGACCTTTTATCTTGGTTACTCTGCCAGAGTAATTGTTGGACCTTATTTTACTTCTATAAATCAGTAGGAATGGGCATACATTGGTGGTTCTTAGATTGATCTGTTATCTTGGATTCTTACCTCTCACCTTTTAAGATAAATCAGTCTAATTAGGAGTCATTGACTTGTTCAAATCAGACTTCATATAGTGACACTTCCACTGTTTTGGATAGTAGATACTAGTGTGAAGTTTCACATGTTGTTGGTCCTTGATTTATCAGCCCCCAGAAACAGTAAAGATACTGTTTCTTTTGTCTTTGTTTCTAATACACATTTTGTAATACTTGTAAAAGCATTTATTTGGTTGTTGTCGTCTATGAAGTCCTGGGATTCTTTCTGGAAACAGAGTAAGAAACTTCAGAGAGCAATTCAGAAGCTTTTCTGCATGCTTGCTTAAGTACTATTTTTGATTTTGGGGCCTTTAGTAAAATTCTAATTATTCTGGTTTTCCATAAGCATATATAAATTTCAGAATTCAGTTTGTCCTGTAGAACAGTACCTGAGAAAGGAAGCAGTTAAATGTTAGCCAAACAAAAATGAAGACAGAGGGATTGGCTAAGCTTGTGGTAGTGAGTACGTGTCATAATGAACTTGTCATGCTGCTGATGGTACCCTAGGAGTGGTGACGAGGAGTTAACACCATCTTTGCCACTCAGATTTGCCTTAAAATAGCGCAAGTATGAAAAACGTTTCTGGCACAGAATCAATGAGGAACTCAATTTGTTTCTCTCTGAGAAGCAGTTGAAGTTTGCTGTCTGAAGGAACCGTGTGGAAAGACAGAACTGATCAGATGATCAGAGGAGAAAAAACAGGAAAAAAGATGCAATAGCATGTCCTAACTCTTGTTTTGTGAACAGGTGAGACAATGGATAATTTGCCTCTGGAAGCAGGTGATGATGCCGGAGTAGTGAAGTGGGTTGACATCAGTGAGAAGCTCCAGCTGTATGCAAGTCATAGCTACTTCATAAAGCTTGTGACTGAGAAATGGGGAGCCCACTGGAGTGAGGATCCTGGTCCTGAGTGCCATGAGTGATGTAAACGACGAACTGACGGACACCAAGGGGAGAATATGTTTTCCAGCTTGGAAACAGATGACATTGTCCTTTTCAGTGGAAATTCAGCTGGCAAAAACATCTGGCTGTGATAGAGGCTTTTTCAGAGACTTCAGATTGCTGCTTTTGATTTCTCAGCTAGTGTGAAATGAGATGAATGTGGAGCTGTTACTTTGTTTTGCTTTCTTGTCTTCATTATTTACAGGTATTTCTTAATATCTGCAGATGTGCATGGCAACATTGGGATTCTGACTGCTTGTCGTTCACAGGCTGTTCACTTTAGCACTGTATTTTTGCACTGATTTCTCACCAGGAATATGAATCCTTAAGGGATGTGAGACTTGTAGGATGATACACTGAATAATGACTTAAGTGCTCCATAATAAAGTGAAGTTTCTTTTCTGAGTCACAGAATCATTAAGGTTGGAAAATAC